CTATATATTTTCACATATATATTTTCTTTGGGCTTCAGACCTGCATCTGTGCGATTTTTTCGACAGACTTTCATGTTTCTAGCTCTTTCTTTTTTTAAAAACTTTTTTTTTCCCTCGAGATTGATTTGAATATTGGCAAATCAAAAATTCGAGGGTTTTTCGAAAACGAGTATAGTTATCTATATTTATATATATATATATATATATATATATATATATATATATATATATATATATATAAGTGAATATAGAAGTCAACATTTAGAGCGACAGTCTCTTTCATGCTATATGCAATCGTCAGGCCACATATGCTGTTATTTTCCTCGGTTATTTATATATATGCGGGTTAGCGGTGCATTGTGGGTATTCTATTATGGCAGTTATTTTACACACGCTCTATCTCTGATATTTAGCACTTTATCCATAAATATAGCACACCTTAAGACTATATTTATATATATATATATATATATATATATATATATATATATATATATATATATGAAGAAATATAGTTTTAAGTTTTGCTATATTTATGGGATAAAGTTCTTAATATCAAAGATAGAGCGTATTTAAATATAAATATAAATATAAAAGTGAACATTAAATTGAATATTCAGATGCCAAAGGCTGTCGCTTCTGAGTGTTGACTTCAAAGTTCACTTTTATATTTTATATATATATATATATATATATATAGGTCTCTACTCGATTTCGAGCATGGTCACTCTCTTACATGTCAGAAAGATCTTAAAAGTTATTGTGATGGACATTTGTTCACTATGAATATCACACTTTGAAATACGATTAACATCATCCAATGGCAATAATGCTGAAGATGCCTGGTGAAAGCGTAATTTGCAAGTTTATAATGCAGAGTGTTATTTCTCTTAGAATGGTTGCCAACCAAGGCTACAGTGCCCAGTTTGATCTAATATTTAACCCATAGCTGGGAGAAGATGTCATTGATGCCTATTTTTTTAAAGGTATTTGCGCCAAAGGAAATATTATGAATACCACTGGAATTCGAAATATCCATTATACCGCTTTGTGTGAGAATTGGTTGGAAGCACACACAAGAAAATGACTATATACAAGTACAGTAGATAAAATAGTGGTACGCAGTCTAATAGGCAAATCAGTTTCACAAATGCTGTCTATTTCCGTTCCTCAATCTCAGGTAAGACACCTCTCTTGTCAAAAACGAGACTCTCTTTTGAATATTTGTACCGTGCTTTAATGCACTTGACCCAGCCATCACTTAGCCAATGAGCGCCCAGAACTAGCCAATGAAAATGGCCACAAGCGACAGCATCACTTCCGTCCACACGAATTGCTGTCCAATTCACCTTCAGCCCGAAGCTCGGCAATTCGCCGTCTCCACACTCCACTGTAAAACATACACGTGACTCTCTCTCTCTTGTTTGACATTTTATGACGGTCGTCTTCGAGTATAGAATCCAGAGGTTAGAAGTGAATATTTCTGAGACAGTAGGAAAGCGTAGTTCAAGTAGCAGAGCGTAGTACTTCCTTCAGTCATCTTTGCCTGACAAGTTGGCACTGGTCATTCGGGTAGGGTAAACAAAAATGGCCGCCTTTATACACGACGGATAGAATGTTCTTCGGCTTCTGATTGGTTAACCGTCTATTAGTAGACTAAAAGCGAGTCAATGCATTTGGACTAGCTCACTAGTTACATAATACATACATATACACAAAAGACTGTAACATCTCTCTCCCTCACACACACTTTCTCTCTCTATCTCTCACACACATCTCAAACACAGAGCTCAGACACACATCTTTCACACACACCTCTCACACACACTTCTTTCACACACCTCACGCACAGCTCTCTCTCTCTCTCACACACACACACCTCGCACACAGCTCTCTCTCTCTCTCTCTTACAAACACAGAGACACAAGCATATATTTCTTACACACTTCACAAACACACGCCCCTCTCACACACATACGCCTCTCACGCACACATCTCTATCTCTATCTCACACACATCTCTCTCACGCACACATCTATCACATACAGCTCTCTCTCTATCTCTCTCACGCACACACCTTTCTTATACTCATCTCTCTCAATCTCTCTCTCACACACACCTATCTTACACACCTCTCACAACACATTTCTCTCTCACATGCACACACCTCTCTAACACACACACTTCTCTCACTGTCTCCCTCACACAAACACTTCTCTCAAACACCTCTCACACACATCTCTCTCTATCCATCTCTCACTCACACACACCTTTCTCACATAATCTCTCTCTTTCTATCTATATCTCTCTCTCACACACACACACAGCTATCTTACAGATATCTCAAACATACATCTACTCCCCTTAACCCCCTCTCTCTCTCTCTCTCTCTCACACACACACACACACACACACACACACACACGCAAATTTCACACACACGCACACACTCGCAACGGATTTGCTGATGTCTGTTTTATAAATGATTCATGTTTTGTCGGGAAATTTTTCATCGTTCCTTTCCCCCAAAAAAAATATTCATGCAATTTGTCTTTGATAATTAATAACTTTCTTTTAGACATGGATTTTTGGATTTCTACAAAACTCGACGTTATACCCCCCTTCAAAAGAGACATATTGTTATTACCGTCGAAATGACTTTCAATACAACATAAATCTTATTTTATATGTTCGATATTGGCGAATTTTGATACGCTTTTGGAAAGAAGAGAAAATCTAAAAAAAAAAAAAAAAGAAAAGAAAAGAAAAAAAAAACGCCGGCCCAAAGAGGAAAACTGAAACCCCTAATCAATGTCGGAAATGGCTGCCGAGATCTGCGCAAAAAGAAATTCAAAACAAGCGACAAAAACAAATATCTTGGTGGACAGATTATGTGTCAAATTCGAAATATAGAAAAGATCGATAAGACGAAGTGCCTTGGAAAAGAATTTGATTTATATATATATATGTATATATATATATATATATATATATATGAACGTAAATCTAAATCCATATATATATATATATATATATATATATATATATATATATATATATATATATATATATATATATATATATAACCTTCCTTCGTCTGTTATAATTAACACCCCCCCGCCCCCACGAGGGTTGTATATGGCACAACGCCGAGTTTACCGTGAGGCTCGTTTGGTATGATGCTTGCCTGATATCATAACTGCCCGGGTTTCAATTCTCGGTAGTGGAAGTACGCTGCTGATGAGTCCCAAATATAGAACGAAACGGGTGTCCAGTGCTTTCTGCATTCTGTTGAGGTTTCTTCTAGACTCGATGAATTACTTAATTATGATTATCTCGAATCTTCCCAATAATTTTATCACTTATATATATATATATATATATATATATATATATATATATATATATATAAAGAAACAATCACGTATAGAATCAATCAGCAATATTAATGCTATTATTGGTGACATCCATCGCTAATAGTTACTAGCATTAATATTGCTGATTGATTCTTTGCGTGATTGTTTGTTTGTATATAAATTATATGCTGCCTAATGTTTTATGTTTATATATATTTATATATATATAAGTATATAATTGGTGTATACGGAATAAATTCCAATAACCAACAAATACTATTCTTAAAAGAGTGCTCAATACAGAGTAGTGCGTATATAATTAGTTATTCGAAAATTATAACATAAATATGTTATAAAATCACTACAAAAATAGCCATTTTTTTTCAACACCTCTGATGTCTTATTAAGTGATGATGTTGAATATGAAATAAAGGGTTTTAAAAAGTTCAAATCAATTACACGAGATACGAGAACTCAAAAAACTTGACAACAAACTAAGGTTATAACAATTGCTTAATGCCTTAATGCTTATGTAACAACGTTTCCCCTTGCAAGGGGGGGGGGTTAATTGATTTGAACCTTTTAAAAACCTTTATTCTCTATTCAACATTATCACTTGATAAGTCACCAGAGGTGTTGAAACAAAATGGCTGTTTTTGTAGTGATTTTATAATATATTTATGTTATACTTTTCGAATGAATAATATATATATATATATATATATATATATATATATATATATAGGAAGGGAAGACAGCAAAAGAACATTAAATATAAGACAGAATTTAAATTTTTGAAGATCAAAATTAACAAGGAAGAACGTAACCCGAAGGGTGTTCCACAACCGAGACGTCCTATAGAAGAAACTAATAACATAGAACATACGGTTAGATATGGCAATTTCTATTGTAATATAATGAGACCTTACCGCCAATCTAGAACTGCGTGTAATATCATAAAATCTGTTTACTATAAAAAGAACCTCATCAGGACAATTACTACGAAAATATTTATAGAAAAGACACAGGGAACTTAGATTATGACAGCTGGAAGTCATTGAAGCAGAGATGCCAGGTCATTGCAGAATGTTCTTTTCCATTTTGTCAAGACTCTCTAAATATATAGCAAGAGCACCGGACATAACGTGGCAGTAATATTCAAATCAATGACGAATGGTAGACTTAGAAATATGTAAGACAGACTCCGGTGACAAGAAATGTCGCGACACAGTCAACCAACTTTTCTAGATGCTCATGTTGAAATCACAGTACTCTTAAGATCACCGAAATTAAGCAACTAGAGACTACATCGATGGGGGACTGCTTGGGAATCATATTTACTAGAAGCTTGGATGTGCGGCTGGATGTGCATTCTCGAAATTGGTGAGCCGAGTTCAAATTCCAGTCTGAAATACCCTTGGGAAAGATATGATTCTACGTCTTCTCCCATCTGGTAGAGGTTACTTAGTAGGACATGTATCAGTAAAAGGTTATTATCTCCAAAAATTTCTTACAATGTAAAAAAAAATTCTGGCTCTATAATAGACGACAAAAGGTTGCTAATCCGTAAAAATTGAATCAATTAACCAAGAAAAGAATATACGATAAAAACGTATAGTTAACGTCAGAAATAGCGTTGAGATGTTAAAAAAGGGTGCAAAGAAGAGGAAAAAATAAATTGAAAGAAAGAAAGAAAGAAACAAACAAACAAACAAACAAAACGCGGTGAGATATTAAAGAAGGGTGGAAAGAAGTAAGGAACACATTAATTGAAATAAATAAATAAATAAAGAAAGAAAGAAAGAAAGAAAGAAAGAAAGAAAGAAGTACCAAATAGATATAGACTTGGAAAGAAGAAAAAAAAAGAAAAAAACATCAGATATAGATTTGAAAGAAAGAAAGAAAAAAGCGGCGAGATATTAAGGAAGGGTGCAAAGAACGAAAGAAATACATTAAGTGAAAGAAAGAAAGAAAGAAAGAAAGAAAGAAAGAAAGAAAGAACAAAGAAATTCATAAGGGGAGAAAACTACAAGAACGAAAGATAACAATTATGAACGGGTTCATAGAAAGAAAGAAAGAAAGAAAGAAAGAAAGAAAGAATAAATAAATAAATAAATAAAGAGGAAAATACAAATTGACAAGGAGAGAAAAATAAGAAATAAAGATAAGGATTATGAACGGTTTCATAGAAAGAAAGAAAGAAAGGAAGAACGAAGTACGACAGGCAGAATAGCTAACTGTTAGATGAAATAAATTGGTAGAGAAAGATTAAACATACAAAGAAAAAGACAGAAATTCACATCGGAAGAAAAAGAAATGAAAAGAAACAGATGTAGAAAAATCTGTTAGAAGAAAGAAAATGATCAGGAAAGAAAGAAAAAAAAACGGATATGAAAAATAAATAAATAAATAAAAAGCTAAAATAAAGAAACTCAAAAGATACTCCGTCGCGGAATAAAAAATATTATCCAATCGTTACTGAAATACGAATGGCTTCTGATAATTCTTTGATTATGTCGCATGACAATATATTTTTCTTTCCAAACATCCCCATATGTAATCTATATTATTTTAACCATTTTCTTTCTTGGCCTCCCTTGATAACATTAAAATAACCAATTCTACATTCTTGTTTGGCAATCAATTCAGACATTCTTAGAGTAACGAAATTAATTAACGTTTTCAGAACTTTATCTTTTTACGCGCCAAACTCTTTGAATTGCCATATTTGACGCCAGAGAAGTAACACTCTGTCGAATTCTTGAGGTCGCATTAGGATAATTTTGTCCCTGGGGTAAGTTATCTCACCCAGTCATCTGACCCACAATATTGACTCCTTAATATTATTATTTATGCTTTGATCGCGTAGAGCAACACAGTCGGTCCACAAAATCTTACATCCGGCGAGAACCCAATTGCAGAAAATTGAAAGAAAGAAATGAGAGTCTCAAACCGTTTGAAGACAAGCGATTTCTAAACTTTTATTCTCTGAGCCGCATTTTTGGAAAAGTGGCGAAAAGATTTTATTTTCATTAGCGAAGAAAGTAAGATACCGGATCTGTCGAATTAATTTATGTTACGGGGGGCCAATAAGATATAGCCATCTGCCCATGGCAATAATGAAAGTTTCAAGTTGGTCAAGTGGCCTACAAGACAGAATGCTAAGAGATAATGGTAATTAAGCCACCCAAGAGAGTGTGACGTCCCTAAACACAGCCTTCGCTCGCTCCTCGCTGCTTCGTTCGGGTGTCGCCGCTCCAAACGTGACGTCCGCCTGTTTGCGTCAGTCGTGTTGCCCCGTCCTGTGACGACCAACTGGCTTGGTATCGGTCGCGGCACCCAAATGTGAGGTTCTAACCTTTTGGTGATTCAGGTGAGAATCTGGTTAGATTTGATATCAGCCTCGTCGCTCCCAACTCGCTTCCAACGCCTGGTTACCAAGGTAACTGCATTGATCTCCAGTCTGCCTACCCACGTTGTGAATTGATCTTAGACAGACGAGATCAAACAGTGGTTGGGGCCGTAATGCAAATTGAGTTCAACGGGGGTGATAACACACAAATATGCATAAAAGAAAATAAAATGAAAACTCAAAAAGTTCAAAGTATCAAAGAAAAAGGTAACAAACTTTATGTCTAGTTGTTCGATACATAGGACTGCATCTATCTCCCGACCCGTTCTGTGGATTGTCACACGTCGTTTTCGCTAGGCAAGTTTTAACGCTTCAAGTTGTTTGCTCTCTAAGAAATTTGTGTTTCGGTGTGTCTTTGGACGAAAGTCGAAAAAAAACTTATTTCGGTGGTCTGGTCCTAAGTCGCTCTTCAAAATAATTGTTCTTGGATTGAAGATGACTTCGGAAGTTGCGCGAATCTTAGTCAGCTGCGAGGCTGTCTCAGAGCTCACAGCTCAATTGTTTGCCTGTCTTTTTAACCCCAACTCAGCTGTACTGATTTCTGCTCGCTGCGACTTTGCTTATATGGACGCCGATCAAAACCGGGGTGTGTTTGTCGGCGTCGGAGGTTCCGCGATAATTCTAAATACATATCCACTTTTTTTATTTTTGGTTAGGAATTTTCCACTTCTTTCCATTTTTGGGAGTCTTCTCTCACTCCCACCTTCTCACCATACTTCTGAGGGGCGTCAACTGTCCTCCCCACTTCCTCGTAGCAACCTCTCATACCCATCCTCTAGGTGGGCGGCGGCGGCTTTCCTCCTTGCGTCACGTGATCACCACTCGACCACTGATGTCCAGCCAGGCGTGTGCGGTCCAGCGGGCTTTGTTTCAGGAAAAAAAATATATCTTGCTCAAAAAAAAAATTATCTTTTTCTCTTCCTTTTGTTTCCTTAATCGCAGCTCTCACCTTTTCTGGCCGCCAACAGAACAATGCGACCAGTAGTGTCATAAAATCTAATCTTCATCTGGATCTCGTCAGTCAGATTTTCGCTAATTATCAGAATGGGTGGTCAGCAAAACATCGTCCTCTCGAAAAAACAGCTCCATCGTTCTAGTCATACTTTGGCGCAAATTTCTGATAACATAGTTCTGTTATCACAGCCAAAGATGTCTTGTCAAAAAAAAAAAAAAAACGGTCAGCCGTTACTTCGTGTGCGGCTTAGCAGACGACACAGTTAATTTTTTATATCTATCTAAAGCCCTGTATTTCACCTGTTCTTTGTCAATTATCAAAATAACATTTTCAATTGGAGTTTTCTTGGCTAGTCGGTCTGTGGTTTGCTAATTAGATGTTTTGCCCGCATTACGCATTACGCGGCTGTTATCTATCCCCGATAAGACAAGTTCGTCGCCAGAACATAGTCGATTCCCTTATCCACTTAGAATTTTTCTGCCATGGTAATGACACTTTTCACCATTTGCTACTCATCAAAATAACATTGTCAATTGTCTTTGGTCGTGGGTGTTTTTTTTTATCAGCCACGCTTGGGTCTCGACTCTCTTTTCCTTTCTTTCCTTTCTCTTTTTCCTTTCTTTTCTTTTTGACCTGGTAAATGGTGCCACAGAGAGAAGGAAAGATTAAACCATTAACTATCTTCGGAGATAACATTGGTTTGAAAAAAAAACACCTGTTTTATTGTCCAAACCTGGACATGATAAAAGTTTGTATCGGAAGAGATAATTAAGGACAGAATGCAAATACGTCCTGTTAAACCACCCACTTGACACTGGCGAAAATCTCGATTGATAAACTCCAGATGAGATTCGGTTAAGATAGAGATTAGAGACCATCCTAAGAGAAAGAAAAAAAAAAAAAGGAAAGAAGATAATTTTTTTTCTTTGAGCGAAAATTGTAACTGAGGCCGGTCTGGCCACTCCCACGCTGCTGGGCGTTCATTGGCTGAAGGGTGGCGTGAGCGGTAGGCGAAGGTAAACTATGAGAAAAGAGGGGAAACTGTTGACGCTCTCTGAGGGGATTGGTGTGATATACCAATATGAGAAAGGAGGAATTTGGGAGGACGATTCCCTTAAACTAGAAATTAAGGACTTCCAAAAATGGAAAGTAATAAATTTTCTTGACCGAAAACAAAGAAAATCCTTAATGCGGATTTAGAAATATCAAGGAACCTCAAACCCCGACAGGCCCACCCCGGTTTTGGTCGGCGTCCAAATAAGCAGAGTCGCGGCGAGTAGTCGACACACAGGCAAGAGTTGAGTCAGAGAGAACTTTGTTGCAGTTGAGATCTGCCTCGCAGGAACCTGACTGAAAGATCCACGCAATCACGACCTCAACTTCTAACCAAGAACAATTTATTCTTGAAGAACGAATTAAACTCACACCACCAAAACAAGTTTTACGAATATCACCTGAAGATACACCAAAACCAGTTATCGAAAAACAACTTAAGATATTAAGACTCGCCTAAGAAACGCAAAGTGTCACGTATCCATATTAGCGGTTTGGGAGAAAGACGCAATCCTGTATTCAGCAACCAGATATAAAATATTGTTATCCTTTTTTAACACATTTGAACTCTTCGAGTTCTTACTTTATTTTCTTTTACATATACTTGTGCGGTATTACCCTTGTTCTGGCTCGACTTTCATTACGGCCTGGCGACTGATTGATTTCGTCTACCTAAGATCAAATCACAACGTGGGTAGGTTAGACTAGAAATCAAAACAGTTACTTCGGTAACCAGACGTTGGAGGCGAGCTGGGAACGACAAGGCTGATACCGAATCTAACCAGATTCTTATCCGAATCAGCAAAAGGTTAGAACGTCACATTTGGTGCCGCGACCAATAGCAAGTCACAATGGTCGTCATAGGACAGGGCGACAAAGGGCCAAACAGATGGGGTGAAGTCACACATTTGATTTTCTTTCAATCATTTTACATCACCTACCATCCCCTTTCGTCGAATTTAGGAGGTCCGCCGCATCAGGGGCGCCCCTCTTTTCGGGAACAACTGTCCTAGAACATGCCCTGCTTATTTACAAACAAATATGTAGTGTTGGTCACTGGCAATTTAAACATTCCATACCAAATCCGAAGAGAATTTACTAATAGAAGAATGTGAATCAGTTTTCCCTCGTGAGGCGTAGAGCAACACTGTCCACAAAATCTTACATCAAGGAAGAATCCAATTGCAGAAAAATTTAAAGAAAGAATTCAAAGTTCCAGTCCATTTAAAGACCAATGGTTCCTAAACTTTTATTCTCCGGGCCGCATTTTCGGAAAAATGGTGAAAAGAGCCAAAGAGAGCGATAAAAGGGAGATAACCCCGTATATGAACTCAGAACTTTATCATTGATAACACTCTCTTCCAATTTGCAGACTATATTCTTAATACTTGATATTATGCAAAAGTCTAACAAAGACAAAAACGATCAATAACTCTGTCTATATTTCTGAGATGATGTATTATGTACATTATTTATATTATTCGGACTATTGTCCTCATCTTTTTCGCCATATCTATCACAAAGTTTCGGCCGTTGTACGCTCCGGCCTTCTTCAGGTGGTTGGAATGTCGAACCGATCCCTTTATTACCCTCAAGGACACATGGCACAGTGGAAAAAGGCGTTGGTTAGATCCAGTGACAGGACCCAAAAAGTGTGATTTCAATACCCGGTTAAGGCAGTGGAGAGCTTTCAGAGGGAAAATTAAGAGGAGATAACTGATAACTGACATCCATCAAACATGACACGTGGAACTAGAACAGTCTACCCCAGTGAGCGAAATAAAGGGTTCAGTTCGAAATTCCAACCACCTGAAGAAGGCCGGAGCGTACAACGGCCGAAACATTGTGATAGATATGACGTAAAAGATGAGGACAATAGTCTGAATAATGTAAATAACGATCAATAATTATTAATAAATATTTATACCGAGACTCCTGCATGCAGTAATCCATTATAATATTTTAAATTTTGAAATCATTTATTTTTGGCATAATTTATTTGAAACTTTTTTCTAAATACCTGATTTTCTTTCAACTCTTTCTCTTCACCTATTATCCTCTTCCACGAATTCGATGTCAGAACATTATCATTGATAACTCTCTCCTCCAATTTGCACACCATATTTACTCTATTCTTAATACTTGTTATAATGTAAAAATGATAAAATCGGCCAATAATTATTTGTAACTATGTGTACACGGACTTGCAATTACATGTAATCCATAATAATATTTTAAATTTTGAAATCGTTTATTTTTGGCATAATTTTTTGAAACTGTTTGCTAAATCTTTGATTCTATTTCAATCATTCCTCGTCGCGTACAATCCTCTTCCGATGCGCCTAGGAGACGCGCCGTATTGTTTGGAACCCAGTTATCCATTAATCATTCCATAGAACATCAAAAACATCCATTACTAATAGAAGAATGTGAATCAGTTTTCGCTCCTGAGGCCAATGTACTGATAACGGTCGGGGGTTAATGACGACATTGGATAGTTGGCATAAGAATCATCTTGAACAGGAAATCATCAAGAGCTCAAGGTGAAAGTTTAAAAATGGAAACCATAATTTGGAATGAAATAAGGGATATCACCTGCCTTTCATCAGTCGTAAACATCCAGCATGTGCTCTTAGTAAATACTAATCACTTCAAATCCTTTGGTGTATGGATAAGGGGTAACAATGTTACTGTAAGAGATAAAGAAATTGAGCATTGAAACCAATATTAACACTTAAAGACCAAGCCTTCAGCTGTGCTATAGGTAGTTTCCCACAACACCACACATTGTTACAAAACCAAAACATAGAAAAAGCGTGTCCTTGTACTTAAATAAGCGTGTGAGGTCGAATCTTTCATATCGATATGATGCATAGCAGTAAACTTGTTCGGAAATATCTACACTGTCATCTGTATACAAACACTTTCTAAAACCTTCCTTTTTCGAACTTGTAGACTAGCTTGCACAATCACAAAAAAAAGAGAACTGTACTGGTTACTCAACTGGCGACAAGGTGTCATCATTTTCCAGATAAAATGGCTAGATGTAAGCGTAATTTTTATGATAACGATTTCTTCTATCGGACTTATCGATTGTAGAAGTCTCTTCCGTTTCCCGGTCTCCACACAGCTTTGATCTTCAAAAATTTAAATGCAATGCCAATCGTTATCTTTCAAATCACTTAGTGTATGGCTCAGGTATAACAGATTTCGTGTAAGAGATAAAGAAATTAAGCACTGAAACCAATATTAGCTCTTAGAGACCAAGCCTTCAGCTGTGGTAGAGGTAGTTTCCTGCAACACAGCACATCGCTACAAAACCAAAACATTGAAAACTCGTGTCTTGTACTTAAACAGCAGTGTGACATCGAATCTTTCATATCGATATGATTCATAGCCCTAAACTTGTTAGGAAATATCTAAACTGTCATCTGTATAGTAACACTTTCTAAGACATTCTTTCTTCGAAATTGTAGACGGGCTTACCACATCACAAAAAAAACTGTACTGGTTACTAGACTGGTGGCAAGGTGTCATCATTTTGCTGATAAAATGGCTAGATGTAAGAGTAACATCTATGATAACAGTTTCTTGTATCTCGCTGTAAAACTATCTTCTGTTTTCCCGCTTGACCTTCAAAAATTTAAATGCAATGTCAATCGTTATCTTCTGCCTTTTTAATTCTTAATATATTGTTGTCTTCTCACCTTTATAGACGTTTTTTAATCATATTCCCCGACATTCAGTAAACACTTCCATTCTGTAGGCTTTATTGGGGTGAAATGCTAAAACGTTACACTGAATAGCCAAGTCAATAAATAGAGACTCGCTATTCTCCTTATTTATAAAGATAAGTTCGATTCTTCGTGTTTGATTAACATGATCTGCCTGGACAGAGAAGTCCCATAATACACTGCGAATTATATTTTCTACCCCACCCTCTCTGGCTGATAATCCTGTCAATTATCTTTGTCACTGAAGCCAAACTTATGGCGCCCTTACCAATGGATTCTCCTGTCAATCCAATCACGTCGTCACCGATATTCATTCCGCATTTCTTTCTTTTTATGTGTCATGCTTTTTTAGGGACGTAGGCGATCATGGCTCTCCAGCTCCTATTTCTTGCAGCACTCAACCAGTCCCTTCCCTCTGCCACTTCTTCCAGACCACGTTCTATCATCCGCTTGCTTTAAGCCTGCTAAGTATGTCATGCTTTGTTTTCCCTTGTCTCTCTTTCCCTCTATTCGACCTGTGAGCATCAGATTCTCCAGGCCCTCATTTCTCATTACGTGTCCCAGAATTTTCACTTGCCTCTTCCTGATGTTAAGTATAAGCTTCCTCCTTGTTAGCATCCTCTCGAAAACCTCGACATTGCACACACGCTCGGTCCATTTTGTACTAGACAATTTCTCTCGTCAGAATCTATCAATTTTTCTTTTTATGTGCCATGCCATTTCAGGATATGGGCGATCATGTCTCTCCACCTCCCACTATCCCCTTGCTGCTCTCAACAAGTTCCTTCCCTCTGCTTCCCCCGCCCCAGACCACGTTCTGTCATCCATTTGTTTAAGCCTGTCAGATATGTCACGCACTGTTTTCCCTGGTCTCTCTTTCCCTCTATTCGACCCGTGAGTATCAGATTCTCCAGGCCCTTCTTCCTCATTATATGTCCCAGGAACTTCAGCTGCCCTTTCTTGATATTAAGTATTATAATAATAATAATAATATATAATAGTTATTGTTTGCAACTTCTCTAAAACATCGTTTCTCACTCGCTCGGTCCATGATGTCCTTCTGTAGAACCACATCTCGAGTGTCTTCTTCATCTTTGAGGAAATCGTCCAACATTCGCTGCCGTAAAGAAGGGCAGATGACACGTAACAGCTCAGTATTCTTTTCTTTGTTACCAAAGAAATCCTTCTGTCTAGCAATACTCTGCCCAGATTTTGGAATGCGTCCTTAGCCATCGCAATACCTCTACGGATCTCAGTGTCATATTTACCGTCCTCTGTCAAGACTCTTCCCAGATACTTAAACTTCCGTGTCTGCTTCATTCTAGTGATCCCGACTTTCAAATCACGTGTCGGTCTCATCTTCTTACTGATGACCATGCATCCTGTCTTCTTGTAGTTTATGCTTAGTCCCTTCTTCTAACTCTCCGTCGTTACCTTCTGTAGGAGATTTTGTAATTTCTTTTCTGTGTCTGCTATTAATACTGTGCCATCTGCGATGGGCAAAATTCAGGGGGTACGCGGTCAACTGTAGCAACGGCTTGCCCACATATCCTGCATTTACTTTCTTCTTCGATAAATTCACAAGGGGATAAAATAACGAGAAAGAAAGATAAGGAGTAGGAACGGGTTCATAGAAAGAAAGAAAGAAAGAAAGAAAGAAAGAAATAGATAAGGACAGAAAAATAACAAGGAAGAACGATAACAATTAAGAAGGTGTTCATAGAAAGAAAGAAAGGGTATTAGCACGTAAGTGAATGTAATGGATTCCACTGGAATTCGAACTCGGCTCTCCGATTCCTCAATCCGAGCCACTATCCATTACTCCCCCGGGAAAAATCTAGAAGAGGATTCATACCTTTCCAAAGGGTATTAGCACGTAAGTGAATATAATGGATTCGACTGGAATTCGAACTCGGCTCTCCGATTCCTCAATCCAAGCCGCTATCCATTACTCCGCCGGGAAAATCTAGAAGAGGATTCATACCTTTCCCAAGGGTATTAGCACGTAAGTGAATGTAATGGATTCGACTGGAATTCGAACTCGACTCTCCGATTCCTCAATCCGAGCCACTATCCATTACTCCTCCGGGAAAATCTAGAAGAGGATTCATACCTTTCCCAAGGGTATTAGCACGTAAGTGAATGTAATGGATTCGACTGGAATTCGAACGGCTCTCCGATTCCTGAATCCAAACCGCTATCCATTACTCCACCGTTAGAATTGAAAAATATGTTTTAGCTTGAAATGCCCCAGGTTGATAAACCGTAAAACAAATCAGTCATTCAATGAGCTAATCTTCGGATCACCACGCTGTATAAAAGGAATTATTCTGATAGAATTCAATAATATGTTTTAGCTTGAAATGTCCCAGAAAGCGTTGATAAAACAAATCATTCAACTGGTCAGTCTGTCAATCTTTGGATCACCTTGCTGTAAAGTTTATATTTGTCTGGTTGGAAGACACATCTTTGTTGGATCCCGGGGGTTCG